AGCGAGTCTGACCTCACACCTACTGCTAATGGCTTTCCCGCTAAACACGAAATTGAAGCGCTTACCGAAGGTAGGCCACGCCCACCGCAATCATTCCGTTCGGCGCCTTCTCAGATTCAGTCGTCTGCAGCAGCCATTCCCCTGTGATGTTAGGATCTGACAATGGGCCACAGGAATCGGGACGATCGTCCGTTTTGGCCAAATTCGCTTACCATTGCCACCAATTCAGCTCCCGGGATGAACCCTCCAGTTGCAATAAGCTATCTACGCAATCGGAGAGCCATGTTGCCGAACGAAAGTCAAGCTTGTGGAACCTGAGAGAGCCACTCAACTGAGCGCACTTAGACAAGGTAGTTCATTACCAAGCCTAGCTAGGGCGGCGACACCTGCTCTCCGCCTGAGGTACCCATGCCCATCTTCAGAGTTAATGTTGGAGAACTATGTATCCGGGCCTCCCCTCTCCAATCAAAAGCATTGCACGCCACACCGCGCATCGCTATCCTCAGCTAGAAACCACCATCTGCATGCTCTTCGCAGTGAACGAACCCGTCGATCGCCCGAGAAGGAACCCCACTCAAGTCCGAGTCTGACAGCCCTCACGCCACTGGATGTGCGACAGCTGCGCCCATAATCGAAACTACTAGGTCCCTTTCCCAAAGGTTAGTGTGACGTACTCAGACGTTGGGGAACAATGGTCCCCAGAACAAGCTCTCAAATGGAAAAAGTGCCCAAAATGCACCAGCTCACGCTATCATTCTAGGTTTCCCGTACCTTAGCAATAAAGGCAGCAGTAGTAATAAGAGCTGCCTTATTTTTCTCTCCCACGTTTGCATATGGAGCACACTTTAGACTCGTTTTTAGTGGAAAACACATGCAAGCACCACAATACGAGCACAAGTGCTCGTGTTGTAGGAAACTTTACTCATTGTGAGCTTTATCAGGTTTCTGCCATTTCAGAGGGTGTTTCCTATACATGGGCCACGGTGGAAGCACCATCTAAGGGGAAAATGACTTAACGGAACGCCTTACCGCCATACAAACCATCAGACCTGCCAGAACCATACCAACACTAATAGATAGCTGTTCCATAATATATCCGAGAATGAATCCAACGACCTAAACGCAACCCACAATGGAATAATTTTTCCCTTACACAACAAAATGGTAGAATGATATTCATTATTCGCTCGGCCAGCTTTTGCCCCTCAAAGTCCTATAAAGATGAAGTCAAACAGGAATTCTACCATTGAACATTCCTCGTACATATTAAATAATTCCGCCTTCAGTGTCTCCATTCCTTATCATAGACACGCGTCTCAAACACGCGGCTTACGTCTTGCAACGCCTTATTGGCCAATTTTCACTCTGACTCGTTAAAACAACCAATTGTTGTATAAGTGATCACTTGAGTTGGCTTTTTTAGTAGCAAAACCAAGCATTTTTTGTGCCTAATTTAAAATTTTTTTGTAGCACTTCACCCTTTATAATATACGTTAACGCTGGTTCTCATATATCTAATATTCGCTTGTTGTAAAACTATTGTAATGAATGTACTGCTGATGCTGACTTCTGACCACTATGTTTTTTGTTTATTACTATACGATTAAAATTTTTATCTTGCATTGAAGTACCCTATCACTTTCATAAACATGTGTGGTGATTTGATATTTTGCTCAAATATGGCATCTCGAGACCTCTCTGAAGACTAAAGAAGAAATAATCCCCGTACAAAACTTATATTTGGTAAATGAGATAGCATTTTGGCTACTTTCATGGCCTGAACGCCAGCCTACCCGGCGTGGTACAAAGGCCAATTCAAAAGTGACTCCTCACCGGAACCGAGAGATAAACAACCATCGTACTACACAACTAGGACGTTTCTTGCCTCAGTGCCGATCTTACTGATGCCCCCCAGCCTCCCCAGTAAACCTAGTCAAAACATTTTTAGCGTCTACTTTGCAGTGCTTTGGCTCGTTACGGTCTCAGGATATACTCAGGGAGCCATATATGTATGTATACGTTGATAAATTAGTGTAGGACGAGGCTAGTCGAGCTTTTCTTCCCTGGTCTTCATACTCTTTGAACACTTAGGCTAATTTGGTTTTGTCATGTTTATTGCTTAAAGTGGAAGGGGGAGTGGGTACAAAGTTTAGGGTGGCTTGGACCCGGAACTTTTCTCCTCTTTGGCGGATGTTGACAGCCCCTCAGTCACGAGGTTCGATTTGTCTGTTCGCCTCCTCTCTCTCCAAAGAATAATTAAATAATATAAATAATACATTAGGAAATACGGTGTACTCGCTTTTCTAAGAGCACAAACATGTGTTGTTTCGCATATTATAGCATCCTGGGTCTCCTCTACAATTACAATATTTCAAAATGATATGAAAAAATATATTTATTACGTAGTCAATTGCTAAAGGCTACAAACATGGCTTGATAGCCATATCGCAAAGGGTAACGCAGCCGGCAAAGTTTCATTTACTCGCCACCGTTCGAAAAGCAGTTAAATAATGCTCTAAATCACAACGTAGTTCCTCTCTCCTTTTGAGCGCTGTCCATTGTTTAGTCGATTTTTTAGTCAACCTCACCCGTCGTCCACCACGATATAATGAGGGCTTTAGTAACCATCCCCGAACCTATAGCGTCGTATTATTTAATTTTCTTGCTTATGGGAAGGCGTTCGATCTTTACATTACAAGGGTATTTCCGCAATTCCACTGTGTCCAGAGTTTCGACCTATTAGGGGACTTTAGAGACTGCACCGGCTTTGCACAGCACAAGCTTGGACAATGCTCTTCAATAAGGTCACCTTTAATGTCGAGCCTACTTCGAAGTTGTAATAAGTCAAAGGAATATGTCAGAGCAGATGTGACGAAAGAAATAAAGAGCTAAAATACTATAAGCCTGAATCACAGCGTCATATCTCGGAGAAATATAACAGGCGAGGACTCAAGTGCTCAAGCAGTTGAAGACACAGTTAAACATGCCATCAAATCATTGCAGTATAACCTAGCACATATTATGAATAACTTCAAACAGTTCACTAACCTTTTAAATATCTTTTTTTGCATTAACATTTGAACAGGGAATTCCTTGTTAGTACTGCCAACTTCGTCCCAATTATCTATTATCATCATCGTGGAAATATTTGATGCATTGGAGGGCACTCGTGTGCACCTCTGTAGCTTTTACCAATTCAGATGCTCACTGGATAAAAGATGTGTGAGTGTAGTTAACTAAAGCACTGTGACAAGTATTTTCCTTATCTAGGAGTCTATTGACGAATGCGTGCAACAGCTATCACATGTTAGCATCCTTCTCCCAGTCTTAGGAGGCACCCACTATGCACGACACCAAAGCGTTTGGAAATGGTAGTAATTTGCGCGATGTGTAATGTTTTAGTGCAACAGCAGGATGCTCACTTGCATAATGTCTTCGACGTCGACCCGCGGTTGTTACTTGTTGATCCATTAAAACTAACAGTTCTCTTCTCCTCTCCACGGAATCATGCCACCTTTTCCCTCACTTGCATTCACACTTGGACATCTGTTAAAAATGAGTTAAACTGCCACTGTTGCAAGTTACAAAGGCTACTTATTTGAGCTGCGCATAGAAATGACTTGTACGTCAGTCTAGCACCCGGTGACTCAGGGCTGTCAGTTTGAAGATGAACAAAGAGCCTCCCGGTATGTATTTTTTCCCCGAAAGAGATAGAAGAGGCAAGTTACTTTAGGCTAGTAAAAGGTGGCATAGGGTTTGCGTAAGAAAACCGTAAAAGAAGTTTTGTCAGCATAATAGATTAATTGAAATGATGCGCGGGCACCGGAGACTATCAAACACTATTCGGGAGTGCAGTCATTGAGTTGAGTTGTCAATTTTTTAAGTGAATCAAAGGGAGAGGCTCAAATTTGGCTTTCAGGTGGCACTTTTAAGGCTGTCCGCCTTGGATAGTTCGGACATAACCATATCATAATCATCCTCATCCACGTTTGCATCTCCTTTTTTAATTGTCATGTACTCGGTGTAAATGACACAGTAGAACGTAGAGGCGCAGGACATACCAGAACGGATTCGATCCCTACAATGGAAGTAATCATATTTTATCCTCCAAGTTTGTCAAAAAAATTCAACTTTTGTCTGAAAACTATTAAAAGTCGGAATAAAAGCATTTTTGAACGATATAAGATAGTTTGCAAAAGTACACCCATTTTTCACAGGGGAATAAACAAAACCTATCCATGGAAGTCGCATAAATGTCGAAGGATAATGTTCATTTCAGATGTGATTCATAGCCACCAGCTCATATTAGTTTATGATGAGGCATGCGAAAGTATCACGGTAAATCTTGAAGCCATTGATGCCTATCCTGCATAAGTGTTCGGAGGGCTGGGGAACTCACAAAAGCCATTCCGTAGCGTAGAGGAGGGAAACCTGCTCAACCGGTACACCAACGGAAGACAGAACAGTCAAGATAATGACAATGCTGGAGCTGGGAATATGCGGAATAGCAATGACCAGTGCGGAGGTTAGAAGCCTAAAATTTCCAAAAAAATCACCTAAAATGATTCTCTAGTACCCAGAAGACCGATGTAGATCACAAGTTCCTGTGCAGTCCCTTTCATTTGTCCGAAAGATTTTCATGGCACGATCATTGTTTAATCGCTCATTATCACTGAGAGTTTGGCGGAGTTCAGGCTAATGCTATTCGACTTTTGAATTAAATTAGCTGTGTTTGTAAGGTCGTGCTAGATTTTAAAAAGGCGAATTTGGTTTTTACTGAGACTTAAAAGTTGTCAAAGTTAAGGAATCTCACTTGGGAAGCTAATGCAGTAGACAGAGTTCAGAGGAAGTCTGCCTCAAAGTATGAATCAAAGTAAGATATCTAATGTGCAGATCGAGGGTTTCTTAAAGTATTAAGGAAAAGAACTCCAGTTTTAGAATATTTAATATTGTTAGAGTATGAAATTCAGTATCGTGAAAATATCCCATTTGAGAAAATAAAAATACAAATTAGAAACACTATTCACCCTGATGTCGGCAATGGTGAAGCGATGAGGGTAATAGTACTGAAATACTCGAGAGAATGAAAATGCTAACAGATGCGAAAGATCAGTGTTCCACAAAACTCTTCAAATTTTTAAAAACTTTACTCCTTGCTCCTTTATGTGTGTCGTACCATGGGTGGGAACATGTGACTGCTGTGGTTCTGAATCAACTTCTTTGCCAACCACACCCAGTTTGTGTCAAATCATGCTTGATGGGTGTTAGCGAAAATGCCGGCTTTCCAAGACAACTCAACCGAAAAACTATCATATCTCGTTAAATTTGTAATGATACGACTGGCTAAAGATGCATAATTGTCCTGACCTGACCACATTTTAATTACGATATTTTTATTGCCTCAAACGCATAACATCTCAAATAAACCAATTTGGTATGCAATCAAATAATCATTATTTGCGTAGGTAATTTTTGTCCTCAAAAGGTTTCCTAGAATTATAGTTAAGAGAAACAACTCTGTCGAGAATGATTCAACCTACATCAGCAAAACCTAGGTAAAATAAAGGGATTACCAATCGATGCGCCTACTTCAGCACCACTATTTTGCCAAAACTGCTTGTCACCTTAACAAAAGTGCAATCGAAATGAGTGTCATGTCAGCAGGTGGGGTTGAATAACCTAAAAAATGAGATGAGGCAATGTAAGGCGGAAGAGGTAGAATGAGATGAGATGCGGCATGAATGTGGGTAGATGTGAATGGTCGAGGACGAGGGCGGGAGCGGTTGACTGACCAGATGACGACGATTTTGCCAGAGTTGTCGCCGAGACCCTCCATCTGAGTGATGAAGACGCTAGAGGCAGCAATAAAGACGGCAGAGCCATCAGCTTTAAGCGTGGCCGCCAGCGGAGCGACGAATCGCGAGGTCGCCCTTCGTACGCCCATCTCGTCGCAACCTTCTATTATCTCCGGAACTCCCACGAGCCTAGGCGTCACCAAACATCAACAGTGACTTCCGTTCACACATCCAATCTGTGTTCAATTGATAATGCTAAAATTTCACTTTAATTCGTCCTTGGAATCTTTCAAACAGTGCATTTTATGTGATGTAAATTCATCATTTTTTATTAAGAGCCTACGATATCACATTTATCTTCCACAAATAGTAAAGTAGAGGACTCAAGCTTGGGACCTCCTCTGCATAATAGTTTCAAAAGACAAAATAAACTGTAGCATATTTTGAAAATTAAGTGATTTCTTTAAAATTTCTCAGTCTTTGGAAGTTCGGAAATTCATAATGAAGGTTACCAGACGCGCTTTTGTGTCTGCATTTCCAAATGGCCTTACTTAGTGAATTTAATGCTCGTCTATTTACAGTAAATGAGTCTTAATAAACATACGCGCTGGTAGTGGCAAAGACGATGAACCAGGCTCTGGATAGATGCCTAATCGGCGTGAAGGGGTTTTTGCGAGTGCAGGCGAAGTAGAAGAGCACCTCGAATACTGCGAGGACGGCAATGCCCACCACCACAGTGGCTACGAAAATGCCCAGTTTCGCAAAGTTCCCCTTGATGTCGTCCACCTTGATTACTGCACCAGCGATCATGAAGCAGACACCGATTGGAGTCAATCTTGGTAAACAAACACATCGCAATTCAATGTACACCCGACAATGGCACGCTCGCAGTCATTGCTGCATTACTGCATCTTTGTTGTCAATGTGCCCCAATGGGAAAAACTGGTCTTATGTAGTGTTCGTTTAAAAACCTCTTCCTCCTATTTTAATGTAATTCAACAGCTTTTCAGTTTGTGAAAAAGTATTTCAACTGACTTCAAAAGTATTCGGGTTAGTCAATTTAAAATGAAAACGTGCAGTGGTTTCGCCCGAGAATTTCTCCTATTAAACTTACATGTAAGGATACCTGGTATATATTGCTGAATTGGATTATATGTTAATCTTTGAATGAGAACTTTTTTATTAGCTAAATTTTTTTCCCCTTTTGAAGAGACATTACAAAGTGCATCATGGACTCCACCCAACTGATCAAAAATAATTAGTGGATGCGGTGTTACTGTTTTGTGCTTATTAGGCGACCTTAGAAAAGGTAAGTTTTAATGAAACATTGTGGTTCTTTCTATTGTTATGATAGCTTAATGAAATTCAAGAATTTAAAGCAGTGCGTTTGGGTGGTACGGCAATGCTTGACCTACTCCAATTTCTCAAACATCATTTTGTCCTACATTTCATGGAACACAAATAAGGTTAAACTTCGAAAAGTAGAGTTATCGTCAGAAAAATGACATGATCACAATGCAAGTACTTTGAAGGGCGTAAAATAAAGGTTGAGATAAAAAGTCTTGTTATTTAATGAAGTACTATCGAATACATACATTCGCTTTTGGATATACTTAAGTGGGCATAGTATACAATTATATTTAAAGCGAATTTCATTGAAAACACTTAAATTTTAACTATGTAGGAATAAACTAATAACGAAGGAAGCGGAAGAAAAGACAAGTTTAGTAAAACTAGACCTACTGAAGGAATGCCCGAATGAGTTTTAGGACAACGTCAGCCAATGAAGCGAAGAATTCCAGGAAAGGAATTCCACGTTCTTTTGCAGCGCTTGCTGCTAGTCCAAACGTTACACAGACAAAAATGACACCTATAAGAAAAAACCCATTTCTACTTATTGCTACAAAGCAGGGATCTAAATGCAGAATTAAGTGCTATTATTAGGCAAAAATGCGCAGAGGAATTAATAAAAAAATACTAAAATCAAAAGCAACAACACGAATAGTGCAATCATAGATTACAGTAGAGAAGAAGAGAAAATAAACGCATAGTAATCGTACCTATCATATTAGTGCCGTCATCAGTTCCGACGTTCCTCCTGAACATGGGCTCATTTGTTTCATTATTTTTACCGATGTATACGTATGAAGTGACTGCCTAGAGTGATAAAACATGAGCCTACTTGCATCGAATCATTCGAAAGCTTTTAAACCAAGTACAAAGCATCACATTATTTTTACTATCCAAATAAATAGAGTCTATTTTCAATTCGATTGTAATGTCTGCAAAATTTTTTTCTGACATTTGATGATAAAAAAAGCGAGTCATGA